CTCTCTGAGTAAAAGGTAGTTTCGAAGCTTTATCTCGAATTCATCTGTCAATAACGTGGGTTTCTCTCTGTATAGTGCAGGCTGCTTATAAAATAAGTGGCCATGAACCTGATTCATTGAAGTCCAACTAAGAACCATCTWCATGAATAGAAAGCAACTAAGAAACATGTTCATTGATGATTAACATACTTAATGGATAAACTTCACATTAAACAACATGTAATGGGCCATAATACTTAGTGAACCTGTTCATAGTTGYTGTAATTGGCCATAATACTTAGTGAACATGAAATTGGCCAATGTAATCATTGAACCTGTTTCATAGTTGCCAAATTAAAGAGCAAATTGAGCCATGAAACAGAATCATTAAAGTTGTTGTTCATCGTGGTGATGAACTACATCAAATACACAGATTCAGCAACAATTTCTATAAAACTAAACCGCAAATAAAAAAAATTACCAACCACTGATAACATTGACTTCACTACAATAAGAATGAAACAATTTGGGGTTTCTTCCAATAGATATGCATTTTGTCCCAAATCATGTACCCTACAAATTTACAGCTTTAAAACGATAAATGCACAAATGGAATACCTGTATCATCCTTAACGACTCTCTTCCTGCCTCCTTTCTTCATCTGCTGTTTAATGAACTCCAAGTCGTTACCATCGTCATCGARTTCAACAGGTCGTTCTTTGTCGTTSGTAAACTTCGAAAAACTGTTMATCTCCCTCAATCTTTGGCTATAACGCCTCCTCCCTGTAAAAGACAGATGGATTACAAGCTTTCAATGATCTCCAACTTCACTGTTCGATTTCTATAAAATCGAAAAACGATTTCAATAAATATGACATACCTCCATTGTTGCCGACCATTTTGGTTGAATATACAGATGATCGATGTTTTTGGAAACACTATATTCGAATATGGATATGATTTACCTTCGCCGGATTGAGAGGGCTGCATGCGAAGAATACGGGTTTACGACGGGAATGATTTGGAAAAGTATTCGAGGGCTTGCAATTTTAGTACCGATTCTACCCTTTTTGCAWAWAWAATATGAATATTAATTATTTTTTAATTTTTAATTTCCTAAAATAAATTGATATAATCTAGGCCATTGATCGATAAAATGGACGGATGAGATTAGTTTACACGGTTCACACAAATGGTTCAAGTTTTCATTTGAACGCTCCTCTATATATATATATATATATATATATATATATATATAATTTGAACGTTATAGCCGTTAATGGTCATTAACTCAAAATCCTCATTGATGAGTCACTTGAATCTTGGTCTCGGTTATACTTAGAGTATTGATAAACGAATTTTGGTCATAAATCTTTAGTTACAAATGATTCATGCAATAAATAAGAAAGTAAAGGTCGTCGTGGTTGATCAATATAAATGACCATTGGTTATTGACGATTGTATGTTGAGTATATTGTTGTCATGGATTATATTGTGGTCGGTTGTTGTTATGTATATTTTTACCCAAACAATTTACCCCCAAGATTTGAATTTCAAACCTCTCTTGAATTTCAAATTTCGCTCTAAAATTAAAATTGAAGGATAAGATGACACGTGGTCTTGGAAAATGTTTTGGTTTCTAAAAAAACTGAATTGGTTTAAAGAAAAACGAATCGCCAATTTTGAAGGGGCACCCGTGCATGACATTGTGTGTTAATTTACAACGCATCGCCTATCGAGCGGGTGATCTGAAAGGATTTGTTTAAATTCATAAACCAACGTATGTTATAGAAAATGAAATAAACATAGTATTACAAGCAACTTTTAACTCTACACATTAGCTAAGAAATATGCAGATCTAAACTCTAAAGCAAACTGTGAATACAAAACGTATGAAGAACTTGATGAGCTAGAGAGAGCTTCTAAAGAGAAGATGAAAAAATGAATGTGTATATATCAATAGATGAATGTCAAGAATAGTCCTCCAAGAATAGATGAAAATGCTCCGCTAACCCTTGACTCCTCCAAATAGTGAGGCACATCCCCTCAACCTCAAGACTTTCAGCTTTGACCATCTTTAGTCCCTAACATTTTATAAGAGACCAAAAGTTAAGATTGTCAAGGAATAACCAGATATTTTAATACCCTTCCTCAATCTTTACTTTTGAACAGATCTATCATTTTAAGTTTAGAGCACAAGTAATTATGATGACTTATATCTAAAGCCTTGGTAAAGATATTAGCAGGTTGCTCTGAAAATAAGATTTTTTCAATTTTTAATAATCCCCTACTAATATTTTCTCTAATTTGATGAACATCTATCTCAATATGTTTAGTACGCTCATGAAAGACATGATTGTTACAATATGTCTCAGATCTCGATCTTGAAATATAAGGTGGTTAAATATTTTGTTGTTGAAGAATCCAAATTTCAAAGAGTGATAATTTTTGGAGAGACAATTCCATATTTTATGTAAAATATTTTTTTACGTTATGTACTTTAGTATATTTTATGTTTCTTTAATAAAAAAAATTATGCATTTTGGATAATTTTACATAACTTACTATTTTATAAAAGTTTTTTAATGTAATTTTTTAGGCTCGTTTGCCGGTTGGCAAACCTGACCCATTTATATGACTGGTATGGGCAAGTTCTCAAGCCCGCAAAAATGGGCTGACGTTTATTGCATTAGATCCGCTGGACAAGAAAAATATGTTAAGTCTGACTCATAGCCTGTCTAAGCCCGTAAATAATCACCTCTATTTAACACATAAGGATGATTAACGGCTCATCCTAACATTCTTTAGAGCCATGCATGAAATTAAGTAATTAATACTGAAACGCAAACCATAAGGTTAATTGGTGTAATTTTAAAACCTTGTGCATGAAAACCATAGATTTCTTAAACCCCATAGACCATTTTTGTAATTTACTTTAAAATAAAAATGACTTCTTTGAAATAAAAGAAAAAATTTCTAAGATTTTTGGAGTTTTTGTTGGTTTCAACATCTTTCTTAAAACTTTTTCCAAAATAAAGAAACGAATATTTTAATAACATAATAAATATTAAAATCTTTAAATTTAAGTAGAACTATGCTCGGATATGATTTTAAAGATTTTAATTTTTTTGAGAATTGTAGATTTGGTTCTCATGGTATGTGGATTTTTATGGAATTGGCCCTTAAACTTCATTGCACTTTTTCACGTATTTGGTTCTTAGACTAAACAATCGTCAACATCGTCCGTTAACCATACGGGCATCTTTTAACATTAACTTTTGCTCTTTTAATTTTCTTTTACTCATTTTGTGTTTGCCTCTTAAACATCCACTGCCCAACCATCACCATGATACCCATCATCCAGCACCACTAACATAACACAACAATAGCATAAACATCAAACGTTAAGATGGCCTTTGTTTTTTAAAAGGTGCTGAAAGTGAAATCTTATTTCACTTCTGTTTAATAAGAGGTGATGTTGAAGTCTGATCAACAAGACTATTTGTTTTTATAAACTGACAAACGTTTGAAGTCTGAAATGTTAACCAATAGTTTGTTTTTGTAAAACCAGGTGCAATATTTTGCAAAATTCTCTTGATTTTCATAAAATTTCCATCGTCGAAATTCATCTCAACAATTGTTTAACAAATGGAACACAATATAAACCTTTTAGATACCTTTCAGACTTCCAATGCTATCGGGAATGTCGCCGGTGAGTTTGTTTGTGAAAAGATCGATACTTTTGGTAGATGATAAATCGTCGATAGAAGTTATTATTTCACATTAATCTTCTAAGCTAACCTATATGTACACAGGGGGGGGGGGTTGGGGCGTGCATTTCACATGGGTGATGAAAGGACGGTGGCGTCCATGGTGGAGAAAGAAACAATAGACAGAGAATCAAAGAAAAGGGGAAATAAGAGTAATTGAGATATTAGTTTACCTCTTATTTTTTCAAACCATATTAAGTGATAAGAGACTTTGAAAAAAAAAAAAAAAACAAACAGTCTGAATTACAAAACGTGCAAATAAATCAGACATAAGTGGTTTTTAAGAACTGAAAATGAAAAAATAAACAAGGTCTGACTAAATCAAACATATATATGTAACTTAAGTTCATGGTAAACTAAATAAACTACAAACCAAAAATAGGCATCGAACAAGAAACATCAAACATAAAGCAAAAAAAAGGCATCGAAGAAGCATCAAAGAGAAACAAGTCTGGCTCATAACCTTGAATAATTGTACAAAAAACCCTAAAACTATTAGTGAACTACAAATCTTAAACTTAATCAAAATCCAGAAACTAGATCAAACCCTAATTAATTTAAATCACGTACTAGAAGCAGATGAGGATACAGAAGTAAATTCAAATCCATGTGACGATGTTAGTAGAACCAGATGCAGATGAAGTACAAAATCAGATGTCTAATCTGAATTTGAATCTGAAGTGGATATGAAAATAGAAATCAAGATCGACACTGATATAGATGTTGAATCAGAAGCAAATGCCAAGATGCCACTAATGAAGTCCCCATGGTCCACCATTGAAGCCTCCATGGTCGCCGGCAACTTCTACATGGTTGAGGGAGAGAGGAGGAGAGGGGAAACTAGGGGCTCACCACGTGGTTTTTAGGGTTGTTTAAGATAATATATTAAAATAAAGACTAAAAATGTAATATTAAAATTGAGAAAACGTTAAAAGACGGAAATGTCTTCAAGGTTAACGGAGAAAACAAACGGGGGTTTAATTCAAGGACCAAATCTTATAAAAATACATACGATAAGGTAATCTACTTAATAAATGAAACCTTAAAGACGTTTTCACAATAAAGCTACATATAAAGGGACCATTTTTTTATTTTGATGAAATTGTGAATATGATAAGATCTGATCTGATCAGATGCAATCTAATATGATATATCGTACAGGAAACAGACACTAACATCGTACCATTTATTACATAAAGAGAAATCATGGAGCCTGCCCTGGTCCACATTGCTCCACTTTTGCTTTCAGTTTTAAAGATCATCCAAGAAAGCTTGGAGGTTAATGGTGGACGATCCGCCATTGTTGAGAGCTTCTCTTGCCAAGTTCCTCCATTTCTCTGCATTTCTCTTCATTTTCTCATCTCCCATCACCATCTTCAGACACCTCTCAATCTCCCTCCCTTCCCCCATTCCATCTCCCTCCCTCTTCCTCACCCTTACACCTGTTCTCCAAACATCTTCAATCATCTTCCCATTCTTCGCCTGATCCGCCCATTGTGGAAACACCACCATCGGAACACCACCCACCACAGCCTCCACGGTCGAATTCCACCCACCATGGGTCAGGAAACACCCGATTGCTTCGTCGCACAACACCTTAGCTTGGGAACACCAGTTCACTATCATCCCTTGTTTTTTTAGCAAGTCTATCTTGCTCAATCTTTCTGCACTGAGACTGTCTCTTATCACCCATAGAAATGGCCGGCGACACTCCAGCTGACCACTTGCCACCTCCTCTATTTGATCCATCGATAAAGTAGCTAACGTTCCAAATGAAACATACACGACTGACGATTTTGGTTTTGTGTTTAACCATTGGATGTAATCGTCCTCAGCTGGGATTTTGATAAAATCTTCACCGGAGGAATTATTTAACGACTCTTTTCCGTCCAAGAATTCCGATGGGACTAAGGGTCCAATCGGAAGGAACACAAGTTTCTCTATTGCTCTGATGGATTCGGGTTCCAGTTCATTGAAACTGTTGACAAGTATTGTGGGAGATAGTTTGAGTGCATCAACATGATCTTTCAAAAGTGATATAACGAAATGGTTCTCATTTGCGTTTGATGGCAAGAAAAATGAAGGCAAATCAGCGATGATTAATGGTGGCAGTCCTGGAAAGTTGATCGGAAATATTGGGTTGTTGTTGTTACTGGATATCAAACCTTGATAGCCATCGAAATAATAGTAGTAAATATCCATGGCAGTGGCTGATTGGCACCAGAGAACAGTGGATTGGATACCGTGGGCATCCGCCACCAGGGCTGCCCAAGGGGCGACAGTGGTGTAGACCAAGTGGTCAAACGGTTGGCCCGCTGCAGTGGCGAAACTGAGGATTTCTGCTACGGCAGAAGCACCGTTTGTAGCAAAATCAGAGACGAATTGTTGCAGGGTGGTATCAGGTTGCTGGCCACTGTCATGACCATCGGAGAAAGGGGAGAAGGTTAGGCCGTGAGGGGTGGTTTTCTCGTCAATACATCGTATGGCAGAGAGACTGGTGGAATACGTGACATCAACACCCATATTGAGGAGGCGTTTGGCGAATCGGAGAGACGGGTTAAGCAACCCTTGCGCTGGATAGGCAACAATAAGGATCTTCCGGTGACCGGTCATTTCTGCGGTGGCTGAGGGTGGTGTTGATGCAGAGGATGGAAGTACACAGAATCAGTGGGAAACTAGTAACATATATACTGATATACATACCCACATGGATGATATATTCACCTTTTGAACGTGTGGTTGTGGTAAGAATTGAAGACTAACTCTGATTAGGGGTGCTAAAAAACCAGATCAATCCAACCCAATCCAACACGAAATAATCCAACCCGAAGCAACCCGATGTCTAATCGAGTTATAAAATTGTCAAATCGTAGGTATTAGGTTGATATTGGATTACTGTTATTTGAAGTCAACCCAATCCGATGAACCCGATATCCTTTTATTTATTGGATTTAATATGATTGTTGAATTTCTATTAATATATACATTAGACAATTACACTATCATGTATGTTTTTCATATACACATATTTTCAATTTATTCATATCTCTATATAATTCATTTATATATATTTTAGTAACTGTGAACATATATATGTAAATTGAGAAAATTAACTGAATGTGATATATGTAAGAAATATAGATAAATTGTATAAAATGGTTGATAATGAAAAAGAAATTATGAGTGGATAAATAACATATTCAAGGTTAGAAGAATATTTTAATATATCAAAGTATCAACCCGACAAACCCGTACGGGTTGGGTTGGGTTAAGATTTTCCAAACCGCAAATATTGGGTTGGGTTGTTCAAATGTCTTCAACGCGATCAACCAAACCCATGAGCACCCCTACCTCCAACGGTCACTCATCGTTACCCCCCAAATACCAATTACTTCACCGAATTGTTTTTGGCGTCACCAATCTTTACGTGAAAAACGTGTTATCTATGGTATAAAATACTAAATTTGAGATTCTCAGGGGTTGTTTACCCGAATGCTTACCGGATAAGTGCTTACTATATGAGTCAACACTATGATTTACTTTGATGCATAAGATTTTAGTACATTAAAAAGTATCAAATGCAACGATTTACCAGGTTAGTGCTTATCGGGGTAAGAGTCGTCATCTTTACTTACCGGGTAAGACTCTCCATCATTCTTATCGCCCTTACCCGGTAAGATTTTTGACCATTGTCATATTCATCTGATGAGGAAATTTATCCGGTAAACACTTACTAAGTAAGCGTTTAGTTGGTTTGAAAGTTTTTAACTTCAAAAGTTTTGACGAGTTTATCTTATATCATATTTATAAAAAAGCAAATTATATATAAAGAGAACATATTTTTGTAGAGTTTCTATTTTTAAAGAATACTAGTTACGTACCAGCGACTATGCAACTTCTAGAATCAACCCTCCTAGTGCCTACTTGCAAAGTTAAGGTCATGAAATGAGGGTCTCAGAGTCCAACCTGCAATACCCCCATGACCATCAATACGAGATTGACTCACATGCTATGGATCTAATGCATCACAGTTTACGTTAAATGACTCCAAATGAATGACCAACACACCCAAAACATAGTATTTTATAAACAAATATGTCATAAATGCATATACCTCCAAAAGCTCAATATAGAGCAATTTAAATCGGATTAGTGTCCCCAAGACTTCTTTAAGTCAAAACCAAGTTAAAAGCTCAACAATGCAATTGATTGTTTAACAAAAGTAATCCTACCCATAAAAACGTATATTAAGCAATGTTTATGCACATACATGTTCTAAAAACATGATTAACTCAAAAACCCATAATTGATTAGGACAAACCATTTTTTAATTGAAATCATATTATTCACATTTCCACAATGTCCCATTAACATAACAATATGCATTTTCACGAAAACAAGCTCCAATTATGAGATAAATCATCAATAGAACTCACACTTATCATTTAGTTATTAAAATGTCCAAAAATCCAAATATAAGCATTTTACATGATTTACAAAATCAAACATATCAAATATCCAAAACTCACCAAATAATACACATATTTGATAAATAGCAAATAAAACATGTTAATACTTCCAAATTAACATTTTTGGTATATACATAGTTTTCACAAAACAGCTTAAACTTACCTTGCTGGATTTCAGCTAAATCAAGGTTTTACTCTAATCTTGAGCTTTCAAAGTAGGAGATTTGACATCCATTATCTAGACTTCCAGATTGATGGTGAAAAACTTCTCAAGAACAATTTCTTTATTCCCAAACGTACACAAAAAATCCTATACAATAAATGAGAGTTGTTGGTGCAAAAGGACCAAACCTTAGATCAGAAAGACGAAGATGTGATCTTACCTTCAACATCTATGAACTCCAAAATCATCAAATAACCTTTAATAATCTTTGTTACCTCTTGAATAGCTTCAAAATTTAAAACTGTAGCAAAAAAAATCGATTAAATCGGGTAAGAAATGAGAGAGTTATGTCCAAATGAAGTTTAATCCCAAAAATCGGATTTTAATGTGCATGTGCCCCTCTTGGCGACCCGACATGGGGCACTACCGCTCGTCACTATGACCCAAAATATATCGAGATTATTCTCCCCGGTGGTCATAGTGATCCTAACATGCTATTGTGTCCTATGTAACTATCGTCGGACACTATAGCCAGGCACGTGCCGAGTTTTTTTCCTAATTTTTACCCATTTGGGTTTTCCTAATTTTCACCCATTTGAGTTTTCTTAATCAATTTCATATTCAAACAACACCAATACATAAGATACTTAATAGAGTTATTATTGGGGTAGAAACAAAGATAAAACTTGAGATTTCATTTTGCCAAAATCCAGTTGTTACATTGTGTCATTGTGACTATTGCATGGCACAATTGTCGTAATCACCAAACACTCATTTTCACTGGTGTTATTTTGACAAACGTCACAATCGCATGACACAATATTTGAGATGACAATACTTGGTTTTTCTTCACCGGATCGCATGGTCCAGAACTTTCTTCAACTAGGACGAAAATCAAGATGTTACACCTTGAGGATATGCTTCGATCCTGTGATGGAAATTGGGATTCTTATCTTCTCTTTGTGGAGTTTTCCTACAACAAAAATTATCATTCCAATATTCAGATGGCTCCATTTGAGGCATTGTATAGGAGGAAGTGGAGGACTCCTATATATTGATAAGAAGCAGGAGAAAAGTAGTTTGTTGGCCCATAAATTGTTCAAGAAACAACAGATGAGGTAAAAGTCCATTCGACAACGTTTGTTAGTTACTGATATTATTATTAGTGAAAGCTCTAATTGTTATGAAGGAATTAGTGTTTATAGTGACCAAGATGCTAAGAGACCCAAAATTCCTAGTAGCAAAATAGTGGTTTGCACAGCTTGGTTGCGGCTTAACCCGCAAAAATCTCAGTGTATCAAGCATTTAAGACGCGGGCGACTTTCATCACATCTTTATTCGCGAGAATAAGTTTGTGGGTTTGAAGCCCGATTGTAACTAGGTTTTCCTATATTTCTACCTCACATTTTATCCCCATTTCATTTAAGGATATTTTAGAGCATTTATTTCTCTATCAAAGGGTTTTTGGAAGGCAATTAAGGCTAGGATTCAAGCTTGGTTCAAGCCTTAAACCCAGTCCTCGTCTAGAGTTTTCTTGGTTTTCTAGGTTTTGTCTAGAAAACTACCAAAGTGAGTTCATTTTACATTTTAAAGCTTCGTACATGTTAAGACTACTTTTATTTCATACATCATAGAAACTCTTCCATGTATTTTCTTCAAATTATGAGATTTGGTTAAATTCTTGATTTCTCCTTTTTGGGAGGTTGTAGGTAAGTGTTTGAATATCTCCTTTATGAAGATTTTAAGACCATTAAGGGTTTAAAACTTATTTTGGAACTAACCCAAGTAAATGATTACCCAATGAGATGTCTTGCACTTAAATGGATCTTGTTACATGATTTTACTCTTAGTGTCAGATGTCTATCATCAGTGGCTAATGCTTAAAAGATTTGATATACCCGATGGATTCGCAAATATTGTAGCCTTGTGTTTACATATTACTTGGGACATGATAATTGTCTATCTTTGGGGCTCATATCATTATTTGGACTTCATAGCATATTATATGTTAATATATGAGCTCAGGTTTGTTTTATTGATCAAGTATGTATATTACAAATTTGGTGGCATGTTGCATTGGATCCATATGAACTGTACATACATTGTCAATAGATGAGTTTTAATGTTCTTTTCTTGATATCATTGGTTCCGGACAAGGGAGGAGTTTTAATGTTCTCACCTTAGAACCTTTGATTTTAGACAAGTGAGAAACTTTGAGGTTCTCATTTTGTAATCTTGGGGTTCAACTAAGTAAGGAGTTTTGAGGTTCTTATATTAGCTCAAGAAGAGTACATATCACGGCTTGTATGCCTATAATGCATTATCGGTCAACATATTGATGTGGCTTAGGGGCCATTTATCAAACGTTTACACGAATAAGCATTTACCAAGTTATATTACCTTACCTGATGCATATGGCAAGGACCAAGAATCTTACTCGGAAAGAGCAATGACAAAGACCTAGAGTCTTACTTGGTAAGTTAGGGTGACGACTCTTACCACGGTTAGCACTTACCGGGTATATTGTTGTATATGATACCGTTTGATGGACTAAAATCTTACCTGGTAAGTAAGTGATAGTGTTGAATTTTGTTGGTAAGCACTCACCGGGTAAACGTTTAGTAAACGAACCTTACTTGGTGTTTCATCACTTGATGGAATCGGGTTCCCCCCGTTATCGCAAGATATATTGTTTACTACTCCTTGCTAAAGTAAATGTCGTGTAATAGACGACGATACAGTTATGTTGGTCCCGAAAGGGTCTACAAGAATAGAAACAGTTTGTAGAAGGGGGGGATGAATACAAACACAATATTTTCAAATTTAAAATATATATTGATAGAGAAGATCAATACAGATTTTACAAGACTGTTTGCGGAAAGATAAGGTAATGAAAACTTATCTAAACAATCTTTGGTTACACACAGAGCTTTAGCAAATACAAGAAAATATATTGCTAAAAGGAGAATCTTTTACTTAAGCTA